CTGTCATTAGTGCTAAAGGTATTGATTATAATCCGAGTTTACTTTGTATGATTAGGAGAACATTCATTATCCATACGATTTACACAGTTCTAGTCGATTATTTAGTGCCAATGGTCTGCATTTTTATTCTATATATCAATGTTTTCCATCAAGCAAAGCATGATACCAATAGTACGTCTACAGAAAGCACAGAAACATCCAGACGACAAAATCGTGATATTAGCATTCTTCGTAATATTATCATCTTATTTAGTATCTATATTGTCAGCCAGTTGATTTTCCACGATTGTGTACTTTTGATTGTTGGTAACTTCGTTATATATTCTTTAGCTCTTATTTTTATGATATTAGGCGTTACTGTTGAAAAGACTACAACCATATATCTAACTCCAGAACTATGAAAATGGATAAAGCATATTTTTTGCTGTTCAACAACACACGTTACACCGCTGGAATTCTATTTTGCTGCCGCTGCAGTTACAAGAACAACGAAAAACGCAATCTCTGTATTGACTAAATAAAACAATAGCTTTGTTGACGTGGAATAAAGAGAAAGAAGATATCACACTCGCTTTCGCATTTTTGTACGAGATTCAGAAAAGACAAGACAATTCACTTAGTATTCGTAATATTTTCTTTTGTTTTGTTGTCAAACTATGTATACTTCTGACAGCTAAAGTTCGTAGTTGGTACTTTAATTAAATCTTTACTATAAAAGCATATTAAAAAAATAATGATATATTTTGAGAGTGTGTGGATCTTTTGAGCGCCTTCTTTACTAGCACTTTGCTTCGTGAATCTCACATATATTTTCGAAGAAAATCGTGAGTGTAAGTTTTAAATTTATTGTTCGAAGTATAGAAATAAAAACAAAGACAGCATTTGCTGACAATCGATCATCATTAGAAGAGAACTATCGTCTTTTAGAGAATTTAAACATTTGGTATTTTGTGATTAGTACAATGAAACTAAAGAAGACACGTGAGTTCCACATTTCAGTCCTAAAGGGGCTGCGCTAACAAGCTTTTTTTATTTATGTGCTGAAAAAATAAATTGAGCATGATGAAAGTACCTTCGTCACCAGATTTCAACAGATTGAACTTTGTCATTGCCATCTCAAATAGAGTGTAGATGTGAGGTGTGGCTGTTATTTCTACATCCACAAGCAAAACCACTCTCACATCCACATCCGCACTCATAAGAAAATTTTAGAAAAAGTTGTCTTTGTAAAAAAATCAAGCATGTAATTGTAATGCATATATAACGTATGTGGAATATGAAGTCATAGTATAGGTTATGGCGAATCTGTGCTTTTATCTGGCAAAAATGTAAATAGTATTCTAAATGAATGATTTTCTCAAAAAAAAAAAAAATTTAGCCCAATGAGAGGTCGATCGAAAGAACTTTGACTTACTATTTGTCTTAAATGTTGTTCCTTCAAATAGTTCATCATATAGTTATGAAATGTTATTAACTAACTGCTGATTGATGGTGTGGGAAATGGCAGACTTCCGTTGACACTTAGAGTCTAATAAAAATGCATCGCAATGATCAGAACTCTATAATATACTGATAAATATATGATTTGATGGATTTCAGTAACGAAAAACAAGAAGAGCCAACATATATTCTTATGCGCTCTCGTCATTTAGTTAAGTTTAAGCTTTTCCGTCCAATATTGTATTCATTTATCATCAAGTCCTGGAGTGATAAGCACGAGGTAAATACCATTTAGTTTCGATTTTTTCGCCAGAACAATTATTTTTTAAAGAAGATAACCTTCCTCTATAAAGCTTGATGAAAATTTCCCAAGTTTATTTCTAATTGGTTTAATATAGTATTGAGACACCGATTAGAGATTCGAACTCCTTGACGTTGAAAAACTTTGATTAAACTTTGCATGAAATCTGGATTTCCGCCAATAGCTAATTCCTGACGAAAGACGCCAACACAACGGTAAACTACCTTTCCTACTCAATTGGTCAGAATTATGGAAATAACAGAAATCACTCGAAATCAATAGAATCAGCGGATCGGCTTTGCCCTGAGTGTAGATCAGAAGCCCTATTCTTCATGAGACTTGAAAACGAAATCGAATGACTTCAAATCACTATAAATAAGTTTTAAAAATAATTCAATTCCCAAAGCTTACATTTATTTAATTCTTATTTTGAACAAACAATTCAAAATAAAAAATAGTATTGTTTTTTCATTAATTTATCCCCATTTTAGAGTAACAATAATGCGACAATGAAAATTATTGTCCTTGGTAATTTGAAATAGTAAATTAATTATAGTTTCATCAACTTTAAGTGAATTACATATTGTTTTATTAACAGTTGTTTGAAAAGCTCCATAAAAGTCAAGTTGACCGAGTATATCTTTATCTTTATAATTAAATATTGTTACATCAAGTTCATATGTTTGCCAAGTAATTGTTGTTGTATCTTTATCTGATGCTGTGAGATGTGGGTATGGGTCTAGGAGAAAAAGCAAGACTTCCGTACTTCAAAATAAATTTGAAGTACGAGGAAAGTACAAAACTGCACCCTATAAATACTTGTATATGGTATATATTGATTCGAGAAAATGAAAAAATTCGAGGAGGAAAACGAGACATTGAGAAAAGATAAAATTTGAAAAATTCTACGATTACATGAATCACATCGGATCATATACATAGGAAAAAATATCTCATGCACTCAGTCAACGGAAAACTAGGTTAGAACTCAGGAAACTTCTTCAGGCGAATTATTCCAAAACAATTCATTCAAACTAGTAGTATTTCGCCTTTGTTTTCATGTAAGATGGGTATTGTAAGCTTTAGAAAGTACGACGGCAGCTTCATGATTGCTGTTCATCATCTGGACTCTACGTAGGCCCATAAAAACTCTATGGAATCAGTAAAATCCAAAAATAATTCACATACAGTATATACATAATTATATATGTTAAACAAAAATTGAGATTGCTGAATTAAAAATCGATTACAAAAAAATCTGGCTTAATTAATATCGTGGGTTTATTTTAAAAAAGTCTTTTTTTTTAACCATCATTCTATTAAATATCTATATAGTTTGATAGAGTTACGTTAATGTAGTGACTTCAACCATCACACGGTTTTCAAAAGTAGTGAAATAATGAGATATATCTGAAGAATTTTTGGAAAGTTCATTGAAATGAAATTCCTATTTTCTGAAAATAAGTTCATTCGATGCAAAATGTCTTTTTTTTCTATAAGAATCGATAGTAATTGCTCAGATACTCGAATACTTTTCTATCAATAAAAGAAAAATACCGGCTCGATGCTTGAATATGGTTACAAATAATAATTTTTTCAGTCTTATGAAATTACGGTTCCTCCGGATGCACGCATTGGATTGTTTTACCGAGTACGTAATTCAATATACTCCTTATGTTGATATTATTTTGAAGTTGAAATCCGATGTCTAGTAAAGCACTATTCTTATAATTACTACTATTGAGACGGAGTTGGTGTTATTTGAGACTGAAATTTGATGCTTTTTAAATAAAATAATCTTCATTTGACTTTAAAACTGATGTCTTAAGCCCCCCTCTCCCTTAGAAATGATTTCCCACTTAGAATGGTCCTTTTGGGCTGAAATTTTCAGCGATAACTTATCCTGGTGAGAAACGCTTCTGGTAAAAATTTCAGACCTACAGGCCGTACTAGACCGGATTTCAAGCTGATTCGTAGGTCAGTTTTGGCCTTCAGCAGAATCGGTATAACTTCGTTGCGACACAAGTTATAGAGCTCGGAGTGGTTTCAAATTAAAACCAATGCCAGTATGCAGCTTTTCATCAACCAGAATTTTTAAATTCCCTATTGTTCATTTTTTATGAGTATTTTAGTAGACATGTCTTAAAAGAAGCATAAAAAACGGTGATCCGACGACAGTAAATTTCATTTTTCTCAGGCCAGGAATCGACTTTAAAAAAACTGGTAGATGAAAAGTTTACTCTTATTAAGACCTTTAAAACAAAAAAGAATATTGGTTATAGCTCGAGAAATGAGGGAGAAGTTCCAATTTTTCTGATTGGAAACTAGGTTCTGAGAAAAACGCTAAAGAAGTTTTACAAGTGGATTTTTTTCATTTAAATGGCATATTTGCAATATACTTCCTAGGACTTTTTAAAGCGCGTAACAGATGCAGTAAGCTAGCGTCATCTGTCATGCTGGGTAATATAAAAATGTTCTACTCAATGCTAATGCAAGTGGCAACGCATTTTTTCCAAAATTGAAAACCTTTAAAAACCACGAAAATTTCTCGGAAAATATGGTGGTAGGCTCCAAGTTTCATGTGAGAAGTCTGTAAAAATCTGATCATTTTCCAAAAAACCATATATATTCTGAAAGAGGAAGCTTCACTGCATCTTCCTACGATAAAAACTCAACTTCCATATTTCTTTGAAAAATTGGATTTTCTAAGGCCCCCTTAAGTGCCACCAGTGCAAAAAATTGAATGAACATATGTGTATTTCAAATTTCATTTTCCAGACAAATTTCAACCTCTGGTCTCCCGATGAAATATATAGAAGAAAGATTTCCACTAAAATAAATAACAATCTGTATAAATGCAAAATTTCTTTGCAGTATTCTTTCTCGAATAAACCCTAAACATTATGTCGCCATTGAAGTTAAAAACATCTAATGACTGTCTCTTACTATATAGCATTCGGCATAATTGGTCCTTATCAACATACCAATAGTTACAGGAATATTTTTTTCACAATGACTCGACTTTTTTTTCTACTGTGACTACTTTTTTTTACATACAAGCGGTTATGTATCCATGGTATTTGCCATGAAGTCTGACGCATCTATTTAGTCGACGCTGTTCCTTTTCTTTCTTTCTTTTTTTTCTCTCTTTCTCTCGTCTCTGTGTCAGTATTCTAAACGTGAAAAAAATTACATAGCGTAAAATAATTATTAAATATAGAATACAAAAAGAACAACGCATACATTCTCCAAGCTTACTATGACTGAAACATTAACAACAACAGCCACGTCGGTCGTACCGATAACATCGACAAAAACTCCTGTTGTTCGCTTCAATATCGATCAACAATGTCCTATTCAATGTGTCACTGTCTATAATGATCGTGCAGAAGTAACACGAATACTACGACATCATTTCGATACCGAAGGCACTCATGAACTCGTGCTCAATGGTTTCTCAATATTTGTAGATGAAACATCGTTACATGTCAGTGGTGGAACAGGTAAATCATGCACCATTCTTGAGGTATCACATCAAACGCGGCACGAAGATATCGCTCCGCCATCAGATTTGACGTCTCTCGATCATCTCCAAAGTCAACTTGAAAACGTGCAAATTGAAATAGAGGCACATAAACGTGAATTCGCACGAATTACAAAGCAACGGGTATGGCTCGATGGACGTTCAACCAAATTAATGAATCAAGATGGACCATATACAGCTAATGATCCAGAAAATATACAGCAATTTCTCGAGTTTTATCACAAAACATTATTGAAACTCGATGATGCGACAGCGCGCGAAGAAGATGAAATTAAGAAGTTAAATGATCGTCAGGATGCTTTGAAAGCACAAACTACCCAGCATGGCGCTGCAGCTCAAGCAAATCGACGAAAAACATATCGAGAAATGACGATCACAGTTCATATTGCCATTAGTAAAATTGATGTGGCACTCGAAATTTCCTATTTGATCGGTAATTGTTCTTGGAGTGCGAGCTATGATGTTCGTGTAAGCACTGTCGAAGCGAATCAGCAGCGCACACAACTAACGTACTACGGTATTATAGTAAGTACTCGAATCTTCTAAGAATGCTAAGTCTTAAAGGAGTCTTATCTATTTTGTAGGTAAACAAAAGTCAAGAAAACTGGCTCGATGCAAATTTCTCGTTATCTACTGCAATTCCATCCTTGGGTGGAACTCCACCGAAATTAAACACACTCAAAATTGATTATTATAAACCACCGTTTACCTATGAAAGGCATATTCCTCAATCAAAAACACTGGAGTTGGACCATTGTGAGCTTCATGCATCTGGACTTTTGGATTATAGTATTTCTGAAAAACGCAAAAAAAATGCATTCAGGTCTGTTCGTAGAAAATCATCGCCCGGTTATGAGCCAACCATTGAAGACGCAGACGAGGAATCTGCTGCGACAGAAGTCAATGTTCTCACTTCTAAAACTGAAGCCAGCATGTCTAGTACCAGTTTTGTGATTCCTCGTCGATCAACAATTGATTCTGATGTGAGTATTCTTTTCAGCATCATAGAATATGTATGCATTTTTTATCTTTACTAGGGCAAACCACACAAGGTTACAATTGGTGTTCTAGAACTTACTTCAACATTTACGTACACGGTTGTGCCGAAAATATCACTTTATGCATATCTCAAAGCATCAACAGTGAATATGTCCGATAAACAACTTCTCGCTGGACCGGTATCCGTATTTATGGACAACAATTTTATCACACATAGTTCGATTGACAATGTCTGTATTGGTGATACATTCGACCTTCCACTAGGTACGGATGCAAGTGTCAAAGTGGAATATAAGCCGATAAAGAAAATGGTTGATACACAAGGTCTCATCTCGAAAGTGCATCATGAGAGGATTCGCCATGAAACACATATTATAAACACTAAATCAACCGAGATCACAGTGTTTCTCTATCAACAAGTGCCTCTATCTTCTGATGAGAAGATCAAAGTGAAATTGGTCACACCTGATCTACGACAAAAGGAACATGGACGAAATTGCACGGTGACAATGAACGATAGAAACAATTTAGAATGGAAATGTGTATTGCAAGCACATGGAGAATATCGATTTCCGTTAGATTATACACTCGAATGGCCAAAAGAAAAACGTGTAGAATACAAGGAAGAATAACAAGCAACTTCTTAGTATATATGTATTTTGATCGGACATTTTCCAGTTCTCTATTCATATTCTAAAAAGCAATTAATGCTTCAAAATAAAGTCATAGAGCATAGAAGTGCAATATTTCACTTTTTTAAATTGAAGCAACGAACAGGTGTTCATGTTACACCAGGCTCAATGTAGATAAGCACTCCTTTCAAGAAGAATTCGGTACCAGAGTAGAATGAATGGTTGAATATGGTAATCGGCATGATTAGAATCTTCTAAGCTATTGGGATAATCGCTTTCTTTGAATAAACTCACTGGCAGATAATCTTATGAGAAAATATTTTTTATTCGTTTGTGCTTTGATCACAGGTGGCACAATTGAGATTGGTAGAATATTGTTTCTTGCTGTTCTCGAATAGATGCATGCATTTATGAAAATTGTAGACATTTGTTCTCACACGGGTGTGGTTGAATGACGTTTAGGTTTAAGTGTGTAGATGAAGTGTGGTTTGGTGACAAGAGACTGACTACACTCATCCTCACAACCTAAATCTAAATACTACGACCGTTTCGATCAGCGTAGATATTACTTCAATAATCGTGATTTTCTTCAAAAATCGGCAAAAATCTGCAATTGTGGCGATTAATCGCGATCTAATCTCACGATTAATTGGCCTAATGAATTGCGATAAATAGCAGATTTTTGCACTATTTTGATGATAAGGAAATGATCGTTTTAAAAAATTTTCTATTTACCCTATTGTTTTAATTTACTTTAAGAATTATAAATACTTTATATTTAAAAAAACAGCTTTTCAAAAACTCTTCGGAAAAAAGGCATAAGTTCTGAGTATTCTGAGATGTTGCTTATTGGAATAGCTCGTTTTGTAGAAAATTGAATGCTTTGTAGTAATATCCTGTGACTATTGTTCCGAAAATAGGAATTGCATTTTTTTGCAAGGGGAAAAAGCGAATCCCTTGGATCCCGATGGATCCTCTCGAAACCATATGCATATTAGAATAAATTTTTTCATGAGTACAAAAAGAAATGTGAAACAGACTAATCTTGAGGGATATAAAACTACACTGGAATACACAGAAATCAGGCGGAAAAAGGGAGAAAAACTTGATTGAGAACTCATGATCAAGAAGAAAAATGCAGAATACACAGATGTATTCATCCCCATCCGTTTTGGCATATCATAAGGACATCGCATGTTTTTATGACACATTAAGACCAACGATTCCTTCCTCAAGCTCATTGTGTTGTGACGTACTAATTATTGATATATTCCTATTTTTCTCGATAGTCTATAAAGGATCCTTTTAAATTGTAGTCAGCCACGATAAAATATGCCGTTCTTTGACAGTTTGAATAAATCTATTTTTATAACCTATCAGGACTCAGGCATCATACCATATCTGGTCTATTTCTGTGGACTTAACATTGTCAAAAGCGAAGACAATCTGGTATTCTAATGTTTCCTTGGTAACTTCTGAAAACAACGATTTATCAATTCCATTTGACTGAATATGATCGATAAATCACTAAACATGGTTCGAAGTTACCAGATAGCTAGTCAAATTAGTAAATGACGCATTAGTTATGTTCCATCAAATGAACATAATAATAAAGTTATTATGAGAAGTTGCCAGGAAAAGTAACTGGTAACCCCTTCGTTATCGATTACCCAGGTATCGGTAATATCTCACTCACCCTTTTCTCTTGATTAAACTCCGGACTTTTGCAGAAATAAGCGAAAGATTTCGGCTTAGACATTGTTGAGATAACCGGAGTCTCTTTGGAATCTCACGAAATTGACACTTTCAAACCCTTCATCTCAATCAGGAAAGGTTTCTAGAAAGAATAGTAGAAGAATGATGAGAATCCTCAAGCGATGGATTTTTCAGGTTCAATCAGTGTTCTTTATCATTTTTTACTCATGGCTATCATAGATATCACTGACCGATATTTACAGCATCCTATCTGTTTCACTTAAAAGTCAACCATCTCGGATTCTTAGAGGATGACCAGAATAGTTAGAATCTTCCTGCGAGGACGTCCAAATTGAACAAGACTCTTCACAGTTTCCGCTTAGAGTATGTTCAAAACTTGATTTTAAGGATTTCGGTATGATTTATGGTTGATCTGATTCAAGGTTTCAAAAAGAAAAACCAAAAAATTAGTCTAAAAAATTTGAAACAAATGCCTATATAAATTTCTCAAAAATTTTTTGAGATCCGTGGAGTCATACAAAATTCGGTTATGTTTGTTTAGTAAAGTATGGACAGCAGCAAAGCGACAAGCTGGTCTAGATTTTATTCGGTTCTCTTTCGAGTGTAACAGGAACCTAAGGATATAGAAAGACGCCTTATATCATTCTAATATTTGTTTGCATCTTTGTGTAAGCGAGTGAAAGAATCTGAACGAAGTAGTAGAAGACTCTTCTCAAAGTTGTTTCAAGGTCAACCAAATGAAATCGATTTCAGATTCGAGCAACTGACCAAATTCTACAGGTATCTGGGACATGAAACCATTAACGTATCCGACTGTCGAAACCTAGTTAATCAGTTATGTACTAATTAATGTCGGGTGCCAATCGTAGAGGTCGAATAGGGATTTTCAGTGAGTTTTGTTGAATTATGGAAGTAGAAACACGCCGGATTGCAACAATAGAAATCTGGACGCCGTTTTGATACCCACTATCCGATAGGATTTCGTCAATCTTATAGAGGTTTTTATAGCATTCAATCAGATTGCTATCGGGTTCGACTTTCAGAGTAATTTACATAGGAGAGTTTTTATATTATGTCACATTCACGGCATTGACTTGCAATTATTTTTGAATTTTGTTGTGACGCAAAACTTGTAAACTCATAAAAGTAGTGATTTAAATATAATTGTCGTCGTTAAATTAACTTTTTCTGTGAACAATCTTCTTTCGTTAGATATCAATTCTTTACTAAAACATTCTTTAAAGTTTCTTATTCGTGTTAAAAGTTAGAAAAGCATGTTTTATTCAAATTTAAATCAATACATAATGGGAAAATTTCATGAGAAGAGATCAATATATTGAATATTAAAGGTTTTTGAAGTCTTCTAGCAATGATTTATGTTTTCATAAAATTGAAATACCAGCCAAAAATAGTACAGAAAAAATTTACGATATGAATGCATTAGTCAAGCTAGGAAATAAAACACAGTCTACGGCGGCAACCTTGGAGTCAATACTCTCAATGTTCATTTCTCGTATTTTTTACTCGTAAACTCCTGCAGAGATCTGTGAAGAAATCGAGTGATAGGCGTAAATATTTGTTGTTAAATCGTCCAAAGCTAAACTAGGAAATGTTATCTCAATGAAAAATAATTCAGTTTCTGACATGATCTCGGTACAAAATCCATGGAAAAGGAATTGGAATGCTCCAAAGTTCTCCCTTTTAGTTCTATAATAAAATTATGTTCATTCCATTGTTCTATTGTTTTCTCAAGATTTACTGTTTCGTCAATCATTCCGTATTTGAATTACAACGCGAAATTGCTCAAGAGCGTGATGGAATACTGTGATAGTTAAATGTAGTTCTAATCTTGAAATACTTAGATGTACAATGATCTAAAGATATAACAACTTCTTGGATCATTTACAAATGAAAATAGTAAATGCTCTTCTCACTTTCCTAGTAAAAAACGGGAAATTAGTGCAACGAACCACGTCCATTTATCACATATCTAAGCCAGACATATACGAAATCGTTGCTAATGAGATTACAGTATTATCTATCGAAAATTATAAGTGCCTACATGAATTTTGATGAATCTAACAGGCTTTATAATAGACAGAATACAATAAGAAAAATCTGAAACACGATAGACCTTGTCTACATATGAACACTACCAGATCCATCATCTCTCATCAAAATTGTGTTCGCTTGGATTTCTTGCTTTTGCTTTAGAAGTTCTTTGGCCGATTTTGCGTATTTTTACTTTATTTCTAAGGAATCTTAAGCATCTTTATTGATTTCAGTAGATCTTGATATGCATTAGAGCTATTTAACGTTGTACAAAATAATCTATTGAGAACTATAAAGAGAAAGCTTAATGGTCACGTTGATTCGATGGCAATTTTTAAAAATATAAATGCCGCAACTTTCAAAAACTTTATATTAAAAGCACATGAAATAGTATCTGTGATAATGAAACAGACGTAAAATAGTTGTATTCCATATTCCCGGTTAAAAAAAGATCATTTCCATTAGAAAAACGCAATGAAAATATCTTTTTATCAAAGCTACACTGTTAAACCAATACTAATATTAATATTAATAGATGAATGAAAAATATGTCAACTTTTATCTGTTTCATGATTTTACTACAATTGTCGATATTTTGTGAATCCCTGGAATTCGTCAAGAACACATTTCTTATGAACTACCACAATTTTATGAATCTCATCGATTTACATGCCATTACAGGTTATCATAATATTGATATATATCGATCAATCGTAATGGATTCTGATTCAGCTTCTTGGATCCCAAGGATTCTCATGGATCCTGGGATCTACTTTTTCATCCCTGCCCACACTCGTTCATCTGTAATGTTATTCCTTCAAACAGCTCATCATATAGTTATGAAATGTTATTGACTAACTGATGATTAATGGTGTGGGGAATGGCAGACTCCCGTTGACACCTAGAGTCGTATAAAAAAGCATTGCAATGATCAGAATGCTATAAAATACTAATAAATATATGATTCGATGGATTTAAGTAAAGAAAATCAAGAAGAGCCAAAATGTATTCTTATGCGCTTTCGTTCTTTAGTTAAACTTTATTACTGAATACTCAAGATTAAGTGTTCATGAAAAACCTTAATACTTAATATTAAGTTTAAGCTTTTCCACTCAATATTTAATTCATTTATCATCAAGTACTGAAGTGATAAACATGAGGCAAATACCATTTAGTTTCGTTTTTTTTCGTCAGAACAATTTTTTTCAAAAATACGATATCTTTCCTCTATA